ATTTATTTCAGCAGGTTCACTTGCTACCGCAAGCAAGCAAGTTAATTCTTGATCTCAGAATCCTCTGTTAGATGGTAAGCTCCTTGCTCACAATTAATGTAATTAATTATGTTTCTTCCATCTATTATAATTCTTCGTGTTGAAAGATACTTTTGTGTTTTCATAGTTCTGAATTTATATATGTATAGCAATTTCTAGGGTTTAAAAGCAATGCTTGTTTGTTTGCTAATTTGGGGGTTTTGCTGTCCATTACTGATAATTGCTAAATTAAACTCACTCGAGCCATCTGTATATATATATATATATTGCTTTCAATTATAGTTTTTTTTATTTCAGTTAATGACGTATAACTTTGGCATATGCCTTTTTGCTCCGATGCGTCGTTAGATTCTGCTTCAGAAATGTTTCTTCTAAGTTTTGTTTGTTGTTTGCATTGATCAGTAGCTGATTGTTAATTTCTGAAGCTTCGAAGAATGAATGATCTTATCGAAATCATGGTTTTTAATATTATCTGGATTTTGGGATAACATATATTGTGAAAAAGCACCAAAGATATACAACTTACAACTCATAGGTCTTGAGAAATCAGTAAATTATGTATAGGTAATAGATGAAATTCATGAAACTTTCTTTGTAGACGATATTGAGTTGCTTGATGTAAGAATTTCATTATTTAGGAAAGGATAATTATGTTGTCTAGGGTTCGGTTCTTCATTATTCTTTGGGTTTAAAGGGGCTACAAACTTTTTTAGATTTTGTTATACCAGCCCCCCCTTGATACTCGTTGTGTGAGTTTTCCTTTTCGGTAGCAGCAGCATGGCAAGATTGATTCAACCTTTCATCCTTTGGAATAGTAACTGATTCAAAATTATTATTTATTTATTTATGTATTTATTTGGGCTTGTTAATTAACTAGTACATTGCATAAAGCATAGAAGCCATGGATGACTCATGAGTTTGAGCTGATATATATTTTTTATTTTGCTTGTTATGCCCCTTATTATCGATCGGAATCATATAATATAGGTGGAGCCAAAGACACAATTGCAATTGGTTCATTGAGCTTATTGTAAGCAAACAAAGAAAATCTCGCAACTACAGTCCCAAGAGGTATTTTCCTTGAATCTCTATGATATTCACTAGTAGTTTGTTTTTTATTCTTAGATAACAATGAATACATTATGAATAAATTATGATTGATCTATCAAAGAGAAAAATTGTATATGTTTTTAATATAAGTAATTATTATTTATTATGAGCTTAATTTTTTCTTTATATATCCATTCTTTTTAATCAGTATTTTGAAAATTATTTTTAGAAATTTGTATTTTCTGCATAATATAAATGCGACATGAGTACTTCGCGGTCTTGGATGTACAATAGAATGCAAACTGGTATTCTAAATAGGGATTTTATTGTTGGGGTAGACAATTTTCTTAAGTACTGTATGACCAGTCCAGAGGTGTATAGGATCGATGGTAACATAAGATGTCCATGTAAGCGTTGCAAGAATACATATTTCTTCCTTTCGATGATGTGAAATACCACTTGTACCATGGTAGCTCTAATCAATCAGACAGACAAGTACCAGAAAGTTATGTTGAACCTGCAATGGGTGATTACACCCAAATGGTGATGGACACTGGAGGTCCCGATTTTGAGGCACGTGTTGTGGAAGCTGAAGAACCGAACCCAGATGATAAGAAATTATATGACCTTCTCAGTGCGGCTGACAAGGAGTTATGGGAGGGTTGCACAAAGGCAACTTTATTATCCGTTGTGGCGAGGATGCTAACTATCAAAGCAGATTTTAACTTGTCTGTGCGATGGTATGATGCACAGTGCCAGCTAATGCACGATGTCATGCCAGAGGACAATTGTTTCGTGAAGAATTTTTATGAAACAAAAAAAATGATTGAGGGTTTGGAATTGCCGGCACAAAAGATTGACTGTTGTCAGTTGGGATGTATGTTATTCTGGAAAGAAGATGAGTGCTTAGAGTGTTGTAAGTTTTGTGAAAAACCGCGTTATAAAGTAAAAAATGGGCGATGGCGGCCAATACGGTACATGTTTTACTTGCCCATCACACCAAGGTTGAAACGTCTATTTGTATCTGCAAGGACGACTTCGTATATGCGGTGGCATGCGGGTCATCATCATGAAAGTGGAGATGTGTTGTGCCACCCGAGTGATACGAATGCTCGGAAGCATCTCGATGCATTATATCCCTCTTTCGAAATGGAGGCAAGGAATGTACGTTTAGGTCTTTGCACTGATGGATTCCAACCATTTGGACAATCATCAAGACAATATTCTTGTTGGCCCATAGTTGTGACACCGTACAACCTTCCCCCGAATATGTGCCTGAAAGATGAATATTTGTTTCTTTCTGTCGTAGTATCGGGTGGTGCAAATCCAAAACAAAAGATTGATGTATATTTGCAGCCACTTATCGAGGAGATGAACATGCTATGGTGCACTGGAGTTGAAACATTTGATGCATCTCATGGGCAAAATTTTATAATGAAAGCTGCACTATTATGGACTATAGGTAAAAATATGCACATTTCTCTATAAGTAATAGTCCTCAAATTTTATATTAATAATAAAACTAATTTTTCTAGGTGATCTACCTATCTATTCGATGATGTCTGGGTGGGGGACCTCTGGAAAGACTGCTTGCCCGATATGTCAGGAACAAACAGTGGCTTTCACTCTATTAAATGGTTGCGAGTAGTCGTGGTTTGATGCTCATCGTAAGTTTCTTCCCCAGAATCACCAGTACCGTTTTGATCGAAAGAAATTTAAAAAAAGGAATTACCGACTTCAATCCCCCGCCGCGTATCGAAACGGGAGCGGAACAACTCCAAGAGATAGATGGTTATGGGTTTCTGAAAGTAACAGAGTTAGATGCTACTGATGTGAATCAAAGGCTTGCCCGTGTGTGTGGATGGCGGAAAAGAAGTATTTTCTGGGACTTACCTTATTGGAAGGATTTATTGGTATGACATAATCTGGATGTTATGCATATTGAGAAAAATGTATTCGAGAATATATTCAACATGGTAATGGATGTGAAGGGTAAGATAAAGGATAATGCAAAGGCACGGGCGGACATGACAGAACTTTGTGATAGAAAAGAACTCGAATATGACATTGTCCGTCAATACTACCCTCCAGCTGCGTATACATTGGATAAACCTCGTAGGAAAGAATTCCTTACGTGGGTTGAAAAGTTGAAGATGCCTGATGGATTCATATCCAACCTCGGCCGATGTGTGGACATGAAAAAATATCGGTTGTTTGGAATGAAGAGCCACGATTGTCATGTCTTCATGCAAAGGCTCATTCCAATTGGGTTTCGAGAGCTCTTGCCTAAGAAGATTTGGGAGCCACTAACCGAGTTAAGCAACTTCTTTCGTCGGCTTACGTCAAAAGTTGTTACTGTTAGTGATATGGAGATGTTAGAGTCTGAAATACCCGTGATCCTTTGCAAATTGGAGACAATATTCGTTCCAGGTTTCTTTAATAGTATGGAACATCTTCCCGTCCATCTACCACACGAGGTAAAAATTGCTGGGCTTGTTCAATTTCGTTAGATGTATTCTTTCGAGAGGTACATAGAATCAATCTGAAATGTTCTTTCATGTCACTTTTAATGTATACTTAAACCTGTTTGCATAAACTACACGACAATGTTGTTTTCATTTCATAGGTTTTTGAATCGTCTCAAAAGGATGGTTAAAAATAAGGCCCATGTTGAAGGGTCAATTGTAAATGCATATCTTGTAAGGGGGGCTAGTTTCTTTTGCTCGCACTATTTTGAAAAACACGTCTATACGCGTGCGAGGAATGTTCCTAGACAAGATGATGGTGGTGCACCTATTTATGGAAATAGTGATACATTGCCTGTGTTCAACCATCCAGCCCGATTGCAAGGCAAACCCAATAAACGGTTTCTAACTCCTTGAGAACGGAATGCAATTCAGACATACTTTCTCTTGAATGTCCCGAAATAGATCCGTTCATATTGTAAGCTTTTTGGGTTTCCTGATTACAATTTTTGTCTATATGTTATTATGTATTAGTGAAACTTGATGTTTTTACTGTAGGATCTTTGACAATGAATTGAGGCAATCGAATCCACGTATTTCAGAGGTCGAGGTTGCTTCGCAGCTTCAAAAGAACTTTATAACATGGTTCTACGAATATGTATGTATTTGGTGTTGACATACAACTAGTTTACTGCTATAGTAATATGGTATAATTATCTACTTCTCTATGTTAGGCGGAGAACCAACATCCTTTGGATAAATTTTTTCAAGATATTGCGCACGGCCTGTTGGTGGAGGTTACCACATATCCAATTTGTTTTATCAACGGTTACCGTTTCCACACGGAGACACATGGATCAAGCAAGTCAACTTATAACTACGGGGTTTGCGTAGATGCTGGAGGGTTAGAGTATTATGGAAATATTCAAGAAATTATGGAGGTTGAGTTTCATGCACTACCCATAAAACGATGCATCTTCTTTCGTTGTGATTGGTTCGATCCAACTAGTGGTGTCGGAACAAAGAAGCATGAAAATTACAACTTGGTTAAGGTAAACAAACGGAAAAAATTATGCACTTATGAACCTTTTATACTTGGGTTGCAAGCTACGCAAGTCAGCTATATTTCATTCCCAAGTTTGAGAAAGGACAAAGATGATTGATTGGCTGTTTGTCGGGTGAAACCTCGAGGTTGGATTGAATTGGTAGACGGAGAAGTGTTCACTCAACCAGAAACTGAGACGTACCAAGATCCAGTTGTTGAAGCATGCATGATTGAATCCGTTATAATCGGGGAATCTATAAATTTGGTATCAACAGGTGGCGGAGTTGGTATACCCTTGCAAATGTCTGATGACTCTGATACAGAGGAAGAAGTCTTTCTTGAGACATCTAGTTCTGATGACAATCAATTTTACTCCTTGAGTTCGGATGATGATGTGCCTTATGACTAGGTTATAACTTTATAAGATTTAATCTTATTTATATTTTCTCATAATTCCGAACTATATTTAAGATTTTTGATAATGTACTTTCAATTGTAGATGTTGCAAGGATCCAATGAAGAACAACGAAGCCAGAACATCCGCCGTCTGGCAATGTCACAAATGTTGTTGTGGCAGGCGGAACGCAAGAGGAGCAACATGAGCCGAGTTTTTCTGAGACCCAAGTAGGAGAAGGGTCAGGTAAGAAAGATATAACAATTTCAATATCTTTATATTTGTGCAAATATAAATAAAATTCATAACTATTCATTATGTAGGTACGTCTGCAGATGCTATATCGGCCGAGAATACACATGCTACCACATCACGTAAGTAAATTTTATGAGAATGCTATAGTTAATTTTTTTTTTAGATTACATGAAGCTCTTATTCGACCAGATGTTGGAGATTCTCAAGCGGATATTGTTGTTGGAGACGACCCACGTGTCGAAGTGAGAGTCGAGTCGGGTGGGAGGTATGTTTTTGTCTAAGATCTTTCTGCTAGCATTCAACTTGGTATTGTAGTATTAATTTAAAATGTATAAAACTTACAGCATCTTCTGGCCACGTGATGCTTCGATTAAGTTCCGAGATGTTTTCAAATCAAAATTAGTGAAAGAAGGAAGCAAGTGGCTCTCCATACCAGAAGATACACGCCGGTGGTATACGACTGAGATGAAGGTATGTCAACTAATTATGTGAATTCTTAACATACTAATTTAGATTCACTTCCATTTCTTCTAACATTTTTGTATTGTGTATTCTAATCAATGCAGAAGTACATCAGGTGGGATCCGGCTCATGAGGAAAAAGTGTTAAAGAAACTTAATACTAGCGCACAAGAGGCCTATAACAAGTGGATGAGTGATATTCGAGGTGGGCGGGATAAAACCACACACAAGATTATCCCCACTGCGGTGCTCGGTGCATGGAAAAGGGCTTGGAGCTCCAATGATGCACACAAAAGGTCAAAGACTGCCAAGACTAATAGAAGTCGGGGCAATTTAGCAAATAATCCAGAGTCGATGCATACCGGGGGATCTCGTTCATGGAGATGGCAAAAAAACTGGTTAGTAGTAATTTTACTTATATATAATTGTGTATTCTTTTGGTTTGATATTCGATATGCAATGCAGAATCTTGAGAAATGGGGAACGTATGAGTGGGCTCACATGAGGAAGCACGATAAAAAATCATGGTGCAACACGAAAGCTACCCGAGTAGCGGTATGAAAATCATATGTTTTAGGATGGAATGAAACATATTGAAGAGGGGAAACATATAAGTGGGCTCACTATTTAAAGTATTGCATATAATTCATGAATATATTTGTATTTTTAGGATGGAATGAAACATATTGAAGAGGGGATGTCCCAACTTGGGGACAATCACTATAGCAAGGACGAGGCGTTTCTAACCTTAGTCCCCCGTGATAAGAAAAAATGTATATTTGGGTTGGGATCGTTGGCATCAACGGTTCTTACTGAACAATCATCGTTTAACAGTGACGGCCGCACCCTTACAGTTGAACCTACAGATATGGAACGCATAATGAGAATAGAACACGAGCAGCAGATTATGAAGGAACAAAATATGACCATCATGGAACAGTTACGGAAGATTCAGGCTCACTTACACCGTCGTAACCCGGACGGCGATACCGGTGCTCCCCCGATCGCGTGATGTATGTTTGCTTTATATTTCGTTTACTTTTGGTGTTTTCTGAATTGATGGAATGTTTGCTTCATATTTCGTTTACTTTTAGTATTTTCTGAATTGATGGAATGTTTGCTTCATATTTCGTTTAGTTTTGGTATTTTCTGAATTGATAGAATGTTTCCTTCATATTTCGTTTACTTTTTGGTATTTTCTGAATTGATGGAATGTTTGCTTTATTTTATGTTATCATATGGCATTGGAGATGGAGTTTATTTTGTTTACATGGTGCTTACTATTTGGATGGTTAAAATGATTTCTTATAATGTTATTTTGTACTTGTTTGAGACAAGTGTACGAATTTAAAATAAATATATTGTTAGTTTGTAATTATTTTGGAAGTATAGGAATTTGAAATGAACTAGTGATGATAATTTGTAAAATGATTTGCGATGGATATTTGAGAATGAATGAATTCCCTTGCAAATTTTGAATCAATTTGCGATGGATATTTGCGAAGGAATGAATTTCCTCGCAAATTTTGAATCAATTTGCGATGGATATTTGCGAATGAATGAACTTCCTCGCAAATTTTGAATCAATTTGCGATGGATATTTGCGAAGGAATGAACTCCATCGCAAATTTCGAATCAATTTGTGAAGGAAAAATATATCTTCGCAAAATTCCTTCGCAAATATTTGTGAAGGAATCGATGCTTCGCTAAATTTCCTCACAAAACATTTGCGAGGGAATTTTTCTTCGGATCCACATTAGCGAGCAAGTCTATAGCGATGACATGTATTCCTTCGCAACTTCCCTCGCTAACATGTTTTGCGAAGGAAATAAGTTGATTTGCGAGGGAATTTTTCCCTCGCAAATCAAGAGTTTTTTTGTAGTGTTATATCACTACTGCCAAGAGATTCCTTGTCGAAATTAAGAAAGTTTTACCAATACCGATAAGGTGGAAATAAGTACTCTTTTTAACAATCTCATTATCATAAAGTATAACGACAAAAGTAACATAAGAGAGTACATCCTGACATGTCTAATATTGCTACTAAATTGAAGGTACTTAACTTAGACTTTTCGGAGGACATATTAGTCTTATTGGTCTTGCTCTCACTTTCATCTCAAGCTCATCAGACTCATCTTGAGGAAAAAACTTGTTTCTTTTGCAAAAAAAAATTGAATATAAGAAGAATAATTGTACTAAATATCACGAATGATGCATGATGAAAGACACTTTTCTTACTTCGGTTTGTCAGTACATGGACACATCTGGGGGGTGGATTTTGGTGTAACAATTCATATTAGTGTGTTTATGCAACATTATTTATATTGTCGAAAATCAATTGATATTGAAAGATACATCTATATGGGTGACGGAAAGAAAGTTAAAGTTGAAAGTAATAATAATATTAGATTATTACTAAGTACTGGTTATTATTTGGATTTGGATGAGACATTTTTCAGTACCATCTTTAGTCGAAATTTAATTTCAATTTCTATTTTGAACAATGATATATGCAATATTAGATAAATATTTTGCTATATTTTAGACGGTTTTTGGATGCGAATTTTGTATATATGCTCCTAATGGTGTGTTTTTGAACTTTCTACTAGGCGTTGAGGAGTTGGCAAATTTTGGGCATATTGGAGAGAAAAGCAGAACGCAGGAAGTCCTTAGGCGTGATCATGAAGCAGAAAAAAATGAAAATTGCAAAAAGGTCCTCCGGGGTTAATTAGCAATTTTAGAATTGTTTGGTTTAAAGTGCAAAGGGGATCTTGGGATGGACTTGAAGAGACACGATTTTTTCATTTGAAGAGGAGAAGAGAAGGGGACTACCACGTTCTCTACCACGATCTCACCTACAACCTATTTTCTGAGAGAAAGAGAAGCGAAGGAAGATACTACGTACAGGAACTTTGGAGAGCAACGCAGAAGAACTTCCGGGCACCCTTTTTCTTCATTTCTAGAATTGGTTTGTTGTCGATTTTTAAACTTGAAGGCATGATGAACTCTTTGATTCATTTTATATTTTTAATTGCTATGGATTGCGAGTAGTTTCATTTATAGTGTAGGTATGAATTGATTTTCGGAATTGAAATTGTGAGACTTGGTTTCGATTAAAATTGGTGTTCATCGATGTTGGGTATTTTTAATTCTTCTAATTGATGAGTTTAGAAATCTTGACTTGATTATTGCGCACATATCAATTTAGGATTTCATAGCTATATTGGGGATTGACATATGTAATTGTGTAATTTTCCAATTGGCGTAGCAACCTAGAGAAGAACACTCTAGGGAAGAATTAAAACCAATTTTAATAGGAGCTTGTTAAATTGAATTGGGCCTTTCTAGTTTTTACTACTGTCGAGTTAGAAAACTACGGTCCTACCTAGGATTCTTTCTCGATTAGAGAAATAGCTAACGGTCGTACCTTAGCTATCGAAAAAGTAAGGAAAGGTTGGTTGTGAACGCATGTAGATCAACTATAACCAATTTATCCAACTAGTCGATGAATTTGACTTTTAGTCGATGATCAAATTTCATATCCCGAATGAAAAATTCATGCCTATGCTAGAGTCTAATCATCTTTGGTAATCTGCCGTGCATTTTATTTTATTTTATTTAGTTGAGCGATTTATTTTCTCTTATTTTAGTGTGATAAATTCAACCCCCCAATTATATATATAGTATAATTTTAGATAACCGAATATTCAATATTATTATTGTTCCCTGCGGAGACGATCCTACTCACCGAACTACTGCATTTTGCAAGTTTTTGTGGTGTAGGAACTGATACTTTATTTTCCAGCTTTGCGACAAACTAGCAAACAAATTCAGTTATTATTCTTCATTCTGATATAAAGTTTTGTCTCTTCCAGAATTCAAAATCGATTGAAACTAGTACATCATTTTATAATAATAATCATTGTTTACCTAATGGTCTAGCTTCATATCATGAATTAGTTATTGAACATATTCATATAGCTTCCATGATTGCGGATCCGTTTAATTGCTAAAGGGTTTCCACATAAGTTCTATAGTAAGCATGTTGCTCATATGATAGTGGAACCATATTTTGATACTTCGGTTTAGAGGGAGCTAATTATTAATGTTCAAATACAGTTAAAGTTACTTTATTTTATACTTTAGTATTCAGTTTTAATTCAATATTAAGTTTTAATTCAGTATTCAGTTGTTCTAAATTAAAGTTAAGGTGAATCAGTTGGAAATAGACATGTTAAGATCACATTACATAAAATTTCCATATTGTGCATCCGCAATTGATCGAATCTTAGGTTATATTAATGTTGTAACCACTCATCGGTTTCATTCTGATAATTGCAGTAATGGTTGCTTTGATCCGCATTTTTGTGATTTATAGATAAGATTGGTAAAATATATTAAAGCATCTGATAGCAACATTTCCATGAGCTCATATGGTTATTCAATACACATCTACCCAAATGGAAGATTGTTAGATTAAAAATTCAATTGTGGATTAAATGTAACTATTTGGGATATCAGTCAAGTTAAGCCTGTATTAAGTGATCTATAAATTTATTGGGCTTAAATGTATTTAGTAAGTGCGGACCTCTTACGTGCAGAAATCTAGTAACTTACTAATTGGGTGATGAAGCCAATTAATAATAAGAGATAAATTAGGGTTGTGATCCCAGATCTAGGTGCAATAACCATTACTTTTCATATCTCATCGTGAAAGTAATGGCGGAAACTCTAGCGGTTTTCTCAGGAGGGGTTGTATCATAGGCTTGAAGAACACAAAACCCTCTATCAATTTGCAGATCTGAATTCGACTGCGCTTATGCAATCCGGTTAGATTTAATTAGCTTTATTTTTATCTCAATTATGTCAAAAACACAAATCCTGAGCTTAGGGTTTAATTACTGATAAGTTCCAACACATTCATCTTCACATTTAGTGGCAACATCGACTCAGGTTCGAAATCAAATTTATTCAACTTGTCTACGTGATTCCGGTGCTAGGCAGTCGTCCCCATTCATGGTTCTCTTTCAGTTGAGTAAATTTATATATTGTTGGTAGCATATGTTTGTGCCGGTGCCTTATGTGACTTCTAATAGATGCTAGCATATGTTTGAGGCTCGGCGTATGTAGCTCATGTTTGTTTTTGTCATCGAAGTGAGTGGACTTTTATGTGTTAAACTCCAAATTATATTTCAATCTTATCTTGGACAGACACGCGGTTCTTGTTTCATGTATTGTCTTTATTCTCGTATATTTATGAGATGTGCTTACATCCTCTGAAATATTTTTAAGCTTATTGGATCAAGCATGCTCCTTGTTCTGAACCCTTCTTGTTGCAAGGATATTCAATATATTGTATTCATTGTGAATCATTTTTCTTTTTTCTTTTTTCTTTTTTTTTTTTTGGCATTTCATTCAAATGGAAAAACCTTTTTCTATGTGTGTATCCACAATAGAAACAGTATATCGCATCGGGTGGACTAAATTCGATATCTATTCAATCCAATAAATCTATAATAAATGTGAACACTACTTAATTAATTATGTGAGCGGCTTCACGCTAATCATATGCTAAATAAAGTCTAGTATAGTTTGAAAGTACTAAGTTATTCCCAATGGAATGTTGTTGTTAACGATGATAAATGCTTTAAACGGCATTGATAAATGCTATTTGTAATTGGGCAATATGCTATTGTGGCATGTACACTTGTTTTCCGAAGAAATTCACATATATTTTACATATAACTGAATACACTATGTAATCCCTTAGTATAATTGCAAACATTTTGCAAACCAAAAAAAAAAAATCTATTCTGCTTAAAAAAGAAAAGTGTTCTTATAATTTTTTTTTATTATTGTTACGTATGAAATTTATAATGAGGTTAAAAAGCCTAAGTTAAAAGAAAAAATGGGCCAATAATTGGGTTTGTTGGACTGATCGAAGGATGTTTCAAGAAAATCGGGTGAAATAGACGTATTTCTAAGGAAATAACGGGTCGGGAGGTCCGCAGGTCGGAAGGTCCGTAGGTCGGATGGTCCGCGGGTCAGAAAGTCCGTAGGTCGGAAGGTCCGCGGGTCGAAAAGTCCGTAGGTCGGACAGTTTACGGGTCGGACAGTTTGCAGGTCGCAAGGTCTGCAGGTCGGGTGGTCCATAAGGCAGAAAGTCTGCGAGTCGGACGGTTTACAAGTCGGGAAGTCTGTGGTCGGGCCAACAAGTCGGGTGGTCTGTAAGTCGGGAGGTTTGCGGCTGGACCAATGAGTCGGAAGGTTTGCGGTTCGACCACTAAGTCGGACGGTTTGCGGTCAGACCAACAAGGCGGAAGGTCTGCGGTCGGTCCAAAAGGTCGGAAGATTCACAGTTGGATAGGCAAATCGGTTGGTGTGGAGGTCGGGTACTGTTGAGAGTCAGTGAGAGTAATAATTGGGTTGGCTGAGGGCACGTGTCAGCAGAAGAAGAGTTAGCAGACGGTTGGAAAAAAGAGGCGTTGTAACCGTTCAGGTGACGGTTTCCAGTACCGTTTCTGAAAAGTATTTAAGGATTGGGATTTGAAACTGACAAAGTATCTTCAATCGTCTTCAAACGATAGTAAAGTCAGTGATTCGGGGATCATCTTTTAAATTTTCAGTATTTTAATTTCCAGTTTATTTTCTGTACCGTACGGTGTTTAGAGATTTTTAATCTCAGACGCTAAATATATCAAATTCGAAGATATTTTCTTGTTTTTGGATTTTACTTTTTTATTGTTGAAAAAATACATCAACAATTATTATTTTCCATGAAAATTTAAACTATTTTTTACATTGCCCATTGCTTTAGTAGATGTTTCTCTCTTAATCGTCCATGTGATCGATTTTTTGTCTTGTGAAGCAGATGAATACTATTTTAGAAGACATGCAACTAAATCATTTTGTTGCTTATGACCATAATGCTTTTGCATTGCCCTCAAACACAGGTAAGCTTATAAATACATTTTGCAAATGGTTATTCATAATATAAGCTAAAATATATCACTACCGGAATATTCTTTATTCTCCTTGGAATCAAATCTGAGGCTGTAAAATACATATATAATAAATATATAGTCAATTAATTTTTTTGCTTCGGAAAATTCAAAACTATTAATTTTTTGCCTCGACATTTCCAAAACTATTTTAAATAGTTTTGGATTTCCAAAGCTATATTAAATATACATTTTCTCATATCGAATGTCTCAAAATTTTTAAACCTATTTTGATTAGTCTTGGAAATTTGAACCTATTTTAAAGAGTCTCGGAAATTCCGTGCTCTTAGTTTCAGAACTTCTGAACATATTTTAGTTAGTGTCGATACTTTCAAACCTATTTTAATTAGTATCGGAACTTTCGAACCTATTTTAGTTAATCTCGGAATTTTTCAAAACTATCAAAAATTTAAATTCCCGCCACTATTGATTAAGTAACTTTAATTTTGATTTTTGATTTTGATTTTGATTTTATTTAGATATATATTTATAATTTATTTATTGTGTAAAAATGTATACTTGATAATTAATTAAATATTTGCAATATAAAATAATTAAAATATAAATTTAATAAGTAACTGAATTAAATTTTAAATTAAAATAAATTATAAAATATTAATGTATTAAATAACAAAATAATAAGTAAAATAATTTTTTGCTATCGTTTATACACTAATATGTCAATTTTAGTTCATTTGTTTTTAAAATGATGCTTCGAGTCTCTTATTCATTAAATTAGTTCAACTTTAATTCTTAATCAATATTCTAATAACATAAGGATTAAAATTGACACAGATAAAAAATAATTTGGACTAAACATGTATTTTCACTAAAATAATTTGAATTAACTACAAAGTTCTTCCCCATCTTCTTCTATTCCCAATTTTCTTCCATTCCTTCGTCTTTCCCCTCTTTTTCTCTCGTCAAATTCAAAATAATTTCTTTCACGAAAATCCTTCTCTCTTCCTTCATTTTTTTTTTCTACTCCTATGTTCTTCTTTTCCCCCCTCCTCCTCCTCCATTATCTTCTCCGACGACGAAGGAAATGGCAGTGGCGGCGGTT